TTACGCCCACGGAGTAGAGGAGTTCTCATTAATTGTGAAGGGTTTACACAAATACATAGGTTCAAGCTCTCCTTTAGTGAGTTCTAGTGAATGATTTAGTACAAATGACATTAGGGATTATTGTGGGAGAATGATCCCTTTTTATAGAAAAGAGTTTCTAGCTCTGTTCTAACATTGACACGTGTCGTGCTGTAGTTGGCCTTTGATGTTGACACGAGTTGCGCTGTGATTGGCCTCTGATATTGACACGTGTCATTTTGTGATTAGCCTCCTGGTTGGAGGGAAACTCTTGTGGGTCCTTGACGGTATAATGTTGACCAGTGCTCAGTAGTTTCGGGATTGATCAAGTATGGTACAAACATGTATGATTAATTAAAATGAAGTTATTACATAATATCTAATATTATAAAATTTCTTTTTAGGCACAACTCCAACTAAATGTACCTTGAAATAAAGAGTGAGTAGTGAGCACAAAAAAATATAATGGAATTTTGTATAATGTGGAAGGAAGACCAGAAGCTATATATGATACACTACCTAGCAGCTGCCCTACTACTACGTACCAGTACTGGTCGAGGTCGTTAATTATAAACTAGAAAATGCTAGTGAAATCACATTTTGCAAAGTATGTCTAACTTCTCTTTAATAGACGTGGGATCTACTTGTATTGTGGACCTTAACTCTATAACAGATATGATTTAGGTATGATTTACAAAATGTAATCTCCCTAGCATCACTCCTATACATCATGCATGATGGTGCAGCAAGAGCTTCCGAGAAGTGTTACACCAGCGAGCATAGGAGGCATGGAGGTTGGGCCAATCAGAGAACGAGCTATGTGTGAAGTGGTGGAGCCACAAAGACAGCACTTTCTCTTGATTCTCTTCGTCTTCCAGCATCTCGATCGTCTCTTCCAATACTCTCTCCAGCTCAGTCCTTTCTGCGATGCTCAAAACCGGGACGTCGGTTCCGTTGCTGGCTTTGCATAGCAATGGCAACCACGACATTAACATTTGCATCTTTGTTTGCTTGTGTTGCTCTTTCTTGATTCCGTCGTCAGCTTCGTCTTTTCCCAACTGTTTGGCATGCTTGAACAACAATGCTGCACGAACACAACAGTTGATTAATCATCACATGCAAAGCGGAATTAATGTTATATATTTTAAATTGAAATTTCGTGACACGCATATATACATTTATGTGAGAACCAAGGAAAAATGATATGCATATCTTGATACGGTAAGTAGAACATGCCATGTTTCTAAAAAAATAAATATAGTCTAGTTTTACAACTAACAATACGCTTGATGGCCTAGTTTGCTATGGAGTTCCATACTATTTAGCTAAGTTTGGCCTTAGTATTAGTGATGGTCTATTTGGTTTGAGGAAACCTCCCGACCATGTACAGAACGTTCTTTTCCAAGACTTTTCTTGTACTTGAGTTGATGTTTTATTAATAAAGTCGTTTCTCTATTCAAAAAACAATTACACAGGATAAGAATTTACAGGCTTATAGAATTTTGTCTTATTTTTAGGTATGTCTCTGGAACTCAATTTTCATCTCATTTTGACCCCCTATGACTCAAAGTCACCACTTTAGTCTTTGAAACTCAAAATTTGCTCCACTTTGACTCCTGGAACTCACTTTTGGATCTCATTTTGCTCCATGAAACTCAAAAGTCGTCATTTTACTCAATAAAAACTCAGCATTTTCTCCACATTGCCTTAATTATGCCGTTATGTAGAATGTTGACGCATAGTGGAGATTTATAATATTTTCTGTTAATTTCATCATTTTATTCTATAAAACTCGATTTTAAAATTTTTTTTATTGTTGAATGTTAATGCATAGTGAATATTTATAATATTTTATGTTAATTTCATCAGTTTATTCTATAAAACTCGATTTTAATTTTTTTTTATATATTATTAAATGTTAACGCATAGTGGAGATTTATAAACAACTTCATTGGCATATGTGGCATTGTCTTATTGAGTGGTGGGTCGAACATATATATATGTTTTAGGACTGAGTTTTGAGTTCAGGGAGAAAAGAGAGTTTTGGAACAAATTTACAGTTTCAGAAAGTAAAGAGGTGATATTTGAGTTATAAAGAACAATGTGAGATCAAAATTAAATTTCAGAGAATATAATTAAAAATAAAGAGTAATGCTATTCATACCATGTTTTTGTACCATATTTTCATATTACCTTAGGTGGCATTTGATGTGGATAGTCACATCATTTGAATTAATTAGATTTTTAAATTTAGTTCATTATTTAATAAACTAATAATTAAGAAAAACTAGTTAATTAAATGATGATTGTGGTATACGAAGAGTCTTTCTCCTTCCTTTCCTTGGGTTTTGCAAATTTTTCAAATGATGTGGCTGTCCACATCAGATGTCACCTAAGGTGGTATAGAAATGTGGTATAAAAACATGGTATGAATAGCATTACTCAAAAACAAATCTTAAAAGTATTAACCGTTACACTCAGAATACCGAGTCTGATTCCACACTTACCTTAATTCAAAACCAATGTCATTTTGGTTTATAAATAACAATAAATTAAGGGATGAACTATCCACATACCCCAAATTACTTCTCACACACCTCTTGTTAATTTTTGTCCGTTGATCTTCTTTAATTCATCTGATCTGACAGCCGAAAATTAAAAAGGTGTGTGAGAAATAAAATTGGGTGTGTGGATATCACACCCCTAAATTAATATTAAAAAAAAATGGTTAACTTCACAAATTGAAAAGTCAAATAATTGGAGCCATGCATAATTATATTCGTCATGAAGTTTCCGGCCACCACGCCTAATTTAGATGTGATCTCAATCACCAATAACGACAAATATAAAGCAAAAAAGAAGAGATATCCAAAATTTGGTGCCGTCACGCCCGCAGAAAACCATGAAAATAAAATATTAATAGTCAAAGGAATATTAAACCATGCATAGGAATATATCACCCCTATACAATAATTCGTAAAGATATTTGTTACTCTTATTTTCTTCAATTTTGTGTTGCTCTTTATTCTTCAACTTTTTTTTTTTTTGAAAAAATGAGTTAAAAATAAAAGCCTAAACAAAACTAATTATTAATAAATTTAAACCAAAACATAGCTACATTATCCATCACAAAATACGATATTATCGAGTCGTGCTCTTTATTGTTGAATGTAAAATGTTTAATAATGCACTGCTACGAGTGTTTAGTATTAGACTTAATTTCTACAATTATTTAATTTTAAATTTTTATCTGAGTCTTTTTTTTTTTTTTTCGATTTTACTTTGAGAAAAAAATTCGTTAATTTGAAATAAAAGAAAGAAATAAATAAGAACTTACCCGAGGTCTTGACCAAGGATGCTTGTAAGCGCGGCTCAACCGAAAGAGAGAGACGAGCCAAATTAAAGGCAGCGGCCCATCTCCGCACTGCTTCATCAGCCGAGTCACAAGCTGCCAGCTTCTCAGCCAGCCAAAGCACCTCAGCCGCCAGTTTCTCCGCCGAGCTTCTCGTCCCGCTCGCCCTCGTCTCCCTTATCCACGACACGTCCCGTATCGATCGAACCACCCGTAGAACAGGGCTCCACCGGTACTCTACCGGCCGAGCGTTTCCCAACAAATCGACGCCATCACCACATAGCACTTCTCCTTGTTGTTCGAGAATGGCGGCAGCTTCAAGCTGGCTCAGAGTGGTGGAAAAAGCCGCGGATAGAACCGTACGGTTGACTTGACGTAAAGCCTCTACGCCCTCTTTGTGGTTGTCGTCGATGAGGTTCTCCGCCAAAGAGCGAACAACTTGGTACTTGCGGGAGCTTACGGGGATGTCGTTGACGAGGGACAAGAGCTGCGATAGTGCTCGAGCGATAGCGGAGTCGCCGCCGCCAGTAATAGTAGCACCGCCGCTGAATGAGGCGGGCGTATAATCATAATGATCACTAGTGTGATTACTAGCATTCTTGTTGGGAGGCTTGTAGGGTTGGTTATTGTTAGGGTTTAGAGGAGGAAGCAAACGGAGGAGGAAGAGGAAGGAAGTGACGAAAGTATAGCGAAGAAGTTGGAGGATTTTGGATTTCTCAGACAAGTTTAGGAAGGATTTGTCTGCGAAGATAAAGAGGGAGGCTATGAGGTTGCGGGGAAGCAAAGGAGATATGGTAGTTGGAGACCAGCCTTCCATCATCACCATCCTCCTATGTGAAATCAAATAGTTTATTTCCTTTTGTGTCCTAATTAGGGTTTTTCTTTTTCTTTTTTCTGTTTGGTGAGAAAGTTATTGATTTTGATTACTTGCGTGAATATATATATAAGATAAGGTGTGTGATGTAAACTTGAGAGGAAGAAAATGAATTAGGATATCGAGTACTGGAGGGATTGAATGGGTGGTAGTCCGTGGTCCGGCCAGTTGTTTGGACCATGACTTCGTGATCATGACCGCGTTTTGTTTTGTTTTGTTCCGGGGTTGTGTTGCTTTCCTGTGTACGTTCTCGTCGTCGTAAGGAACGTCAAATGTTGCACCTATGCCAAATTGCCAATTATTAATCTCTTTGGGTGCCGTACATCACACTCGCACTGGCAGGCACAATCATTTGTTCAAGTCTCACGTTGACGAAAACAATATATAATTAGGTTATTTTTCATATTATTAATTAGTTTTGTGGTAGAACATCATTTTTTTCATGATATATTCTTAGTTGTCTTACATGTGAAACACAACAACTGCCCTTGCTCTATATTACTCGATCTATGTTGTTCACGTATTAAATTTAAAAGTTTGTTACACACGAAGAGGCATGTTGAGAGTACAAATCTCACATCGAGTAAAAAACCACAAGTTGAATGACACTAATTTGAATTCTAATTATGCAATTCCATCACCATAAAAATTGGGTTCAAGGGCCATGGATGCATCTGTGCTTACTAATGATCATAATGCCCACAGTTACCAAGTACGATTTTATTGGATTTTGACTGGTAAAGTGCCCGAGAAAGTTTTCCCTAATACGGTTTTACCTCATTAAATCATTAAGCACTGAGTTAATTTGGCGCTTCTGTGTACTGTTATAGTATAGGACTGATTTCTGTCTGCAGTCCTCTATATAGAGGTCCTAAACATCTTCATGTGCGAACAAAACTGTGTAACATTCTTTCTTTCATTACGTAATCATCGGCTCAACGAACAAAGTGTTCGTGTAAATCATCTTCAGTCATGAATTAATACACTTTGTTGATGTGAAATGAAAGTGATCTTTCCATGTTGGTGGTGATGGCGGAGTTGAATGTGAGTCGCAGAGGAAAGATTTTAGGTGCTTAGCAAACTCCTTGGGCTTTTCCAGGTTCACAGCATGTCCTGCGTTCTTTATAACGACTAGTTCCGCACCTTTACCTACATGACTATATATTTCAAACCAAAATGCAAATAATTAGTTAAGAGAAATGAAAGATCGAGCAATGAGGCACTGTATTATTATATATCCGTCAGATTTCTCATTTACCTCTTTAATCTGTACCCTAGTTCCACCGGGAATATCTGATCTTCTTGTCCCCATATTACCAGTGTGGGCTGTGTTTACAATGGAATAGTACATAAGCATTGAGCATTATTTATGAAAATTTCAAGGCCTGTTGATAATCAATTTATCTGTAAAAACTAAAATTAAAAATTTGTTTGAAAACTATTTCAGTTTTTAGAAAGGAAAATAATAAACAAACACCAAAGTTAAATTATGTTCGTTGATTTATCTAATTCAATCTCCATAATTCAAGAGGGGTGTGATAAATACAGCTCCTACTAAAAACCAAAAACCAACATCAACTGTTTTGAGTTTTCAAAATTTGCCTTCTGAAAATTAAAAGTAGCTACTAATTAAATTTTTACGAACTAAAAACTGATATGGTTATCAAACGATTCCAATTAAATAACTGCAAATATACATAAGCAATAAGGGGAGAATTAGTCACCTGTGAGATCTTGGGTAGATTAGACAGCTTTCTCTCCGTTAGTATAGCCCGGATCAAGTCTCTCTTCTCTTCTACATAGTCTGTACACATGACCTATAAAAATATTACAGAAATTTATGTTTTTTTTTAGTTGAAAAGTATACTTCAAAAAATTCAGCTAATAAGCATGTGCAGAGTAGGAAAATAGATTTAAAGGCTGCTTACGTACATGAATGAAATCCGCGAGAAAAAAGGAGGGCAGACCCTTGGCGGGCTTGAAAAATGAATACCTCATCAATTCCTTCAGCTTCTCTGGAGTCTGAGGCAACAAAATGCTTGCAGCCTCATCCAAATCTGAAACCCTAAACAACCCTTCTTCCATATCCTTCTCCTCCAAGCACACCCCGGCGCAACACAGCGCCACCCTCTCTACCATCTCCGGACACTGCACCGCCACGTTGTACGCCACAAAACCACCATAGCTTATCCCCACCATGCTCATCTTCCCAACCCCATGTGACTTCATCAACCTTATTATGGACTGTGCCTGGAACGACTCTGTACGTTCCAGGCGTGACGTGTAAGAGTGCCCAAAGAAGAGGAGATCGGGCACGTACACATTGAAGCGGGTGGTGAAGTGGCGGAGATGCTCGCCGTATTGCCACATGGCGTTGGCTCCAAAGCCGTGGAGAAGGAGAAGGGTGGGTTTGTAGGATTTGGGGGATTTAGGCACCCAGCAATGGATGGTGGTGCCGTCACCCAGATTTGTTAAAACTGAGCGGAGACCGGCATTGGCAAAATAATGCCGATAAAACCAATCAACGGAAGCCGTAAAGCTGATACGTTTCGGAAGCTTAAGCGGAAACATAATCGATCGAAAAGTTTTTCTGTAAGAAATTAAACTATGGGATTAATTTAACCAAAACAATTAACACCAAATTTACGTACAAATGTTGCATGCATGGAATGTTCTTGCTAGGATATGGAAATTTGTATGAAGTCAATATATATACACACAATTATACACATATATAACTAACCAACAAATGTTCTAGAAAGAATGCTTTTGGTGATGAGATAACTGAATTATTTAGTTGGAAAGCACAGAGAGGCTTAACTGATATATTCCTCATAAGCCACAATGAAGGAACCAAGATTTCGGCTATATAGAACAAGAATAACAAGGGAAATTAAGGAAAACGGTGACACGTCATCACAAGAAAGTAGAAAAGCTCTAAAACATTGGTTGGCCAAAAAGAGGTGGAAGCTATGGACCCGTAGGGTGCTTGTGTGTACGTAATTAAACTACTATTTATGTGTATGAACCATGTAATCCCAAAGTGCTATATGTATATATAGGGATCATCAAATATATGAACCAATTGTGCTATTTTTGTATATGCAACTTTCACATATTTGGCAAAAACATATTGTTGGAATTTTCGTTCGGATGGACAAAGTGTAAAAGTTGCATATATAGAAAATATATGCAATTAAATTAATTTTCATCCTTTTTTTTAACCAAAAAAAGGTAATTAATTAATTTTTCAAAAATCCCTACTTTTTCTATTTTTGTCCCCCCTTTACTTGTTGCATGAGTGATCTAATACACGTTCATACTGTTACTAATCATACATATGCAACTCAAAAGGAATTTAGGAATGATAGTGCAGAGAAAACAACGAGTAGAGTAGAGGCAAAGTTAAGAATTTATGGCCTATTTTTTTAAAGATAACGTTAGGGAGATTAAATTTATAAACTAATGTGTTATTAATAGGAAATAAGCACATTACTCAATACTTGATAATCCAATCATCAATAACCACATCATTTGATTTACAAAATTTAGTTTCTCTAGCATTATCTTTTTCTAATATGCATGCAAGATTAGTTGTAGGGGAAAAGAGGGGACACGTGCCCTCTTTAGTTTCTAGAGTATTGACAAATATGGCAGGGTTCTTCCAGAGTGTAGTTAATTGTACTTGCAGTTAAATTTACCGACGGCCAGTCAACAACCATATTAACCATATATTGGCAATTGTAAGTTTGCAATACCAACAATATCGATAATATATCTGCATTTAACCAGTACAATTAACCGTATTGTAAAAAATCTTTGTATGGTAAATATAGATACTTACAATTTAAGAAACAAAGGAGAATGAAATTCGAACTTGAGTGTAGACAGGAGAGTATAACTATAGCCAACTTGGCTATGTTGTCATGGTTTCAGTGGCAGTTAATTTGTTTAATAACTGTTTCGTTTTCAATTTTCTACATTTTTTTACAAAATGTACAAAAAAAAATGGATAAAATGAGAGTTGGAGGAGTGAAAAAAAGCATAATTGAAGGGATAAAAAAATGTTTGACCAATGAAAAAATAAATAAAAAAAAAAAAAAAAAAAAAAGGAAACAATCTCAAGTTGCTTTTCAATTGAGTTATTCTTTCATACATTCTCCTTCATTACTCCCTCCCTCTCACGTTCTCACCCATGACCCATCTTTCAACTTATCCTTTTCCAATATAATTTCACCTCTATCCCTAACATAAAAATTGAAAACTAAAGACAATGACAAAATGACTGTCATACCGGCCTTAACAAATTGCATTAGCATCACATTAATCGTCACTGAATGAGTGATTTAATCGATGTGCTGCACAAATTTCGAAGTTCATACTCATCCACCGGCAGTTGATTCGGCCTTCATGGCTTCATGTTTAACAAGCTTTGAGTTAATCTTACACCTGTGATTGCGGGAGCGCAAGCTGCAACGCTTAATCGGATCCGATCAATGAACTTGTAACAAAACAATTCTGACCGAATGAACTTCTACGTCCTAAAAGTAATAAGGACATCAACTCTCTGTCTGAATGGTCTAAGTCATCAAGAGAATTAAGGGTCAAAACAACACAAGTAAAACATGGATATACTACCTCAAAAATATACTCAAAACACAGAGAATCGTCAAGTCTGACAACGTTAATCGTAATTTTGGCTATGAAAAACATAATAAATCAGGAAAGCGAGTGAAAACTGAATGCAAGTGATGATGAACTCAGACTAGAGTCTAGACAGAACCAACATATCGGTATAATACTAAAGGCTATTAAGGCAGTGCTTAGCAGAGCTCACAGTCAGGATCAAAAAATTGACAAAACATCTTCCACCAGAAAAGAAAATTTTCTTCATTGATCGACAAAGGAAATTTTTAACAAGTACAACATTGGCTCTTTCTTTTTCCCTATAACGATTTTTCTGTGAGACAAACAAAGTATTCACTTTTCATTTCTCAAAAGGGGATGATATAAAAAGTATGTAAGTATATATAGGGCCTCTCAACATCACTCTAAAACAGATTAATACAAAGATAAATAATATACACATATAAGAGGAAATAAAAACTTGTCGCAGCCGCTAAACAAAGAATCACCTCTCTCAGTTTTCTTCTGCACGAGTATTGTGCCACATAATTTTTGTTCGCAGGGACTCAACTCAGCAGTTTCCTTAGTCTTTTTTCAGCAAGACTGGCAACCTTATTTTGAGGTTCAAGAACAAGGGCATGCTTGAAATCTGCAAATACCAAACATGAAAATAAGAAAGAAGCTAAACCAACCATAACTACTGCATATTTTTGTTTTAATCAAACTCCGTAACTGTATGTTTCACATGTAATCCTAACACAGGCACACTTCAACTTCCAAACAATATTTGACATAGCATGAAATGGTATGACTTCATGGATAAGGTCAATGGAATATGTGACATTCAAAATAAGCCACCAGCAGAATACATTTTCGATTAGCATATTTGACAAAGGATTGGTGTAGGTCAAATTTCTTACTTTAGATAGAAAACTAGACATTTGAAAAAAGTGAAAGCCAGTTTGTCTTGTGTTAGGTTTATTTCATGACGTTTGGGTTAATTTTGGGTTTTAGCATCATGAAGGTTTCAAAGTTTATCTATTTAAAGTATTGTAACTTCTCTTTCTATTTTATCAGTAAGAATACGCTAGCTTTCACAGTTTGTTCTATTGGATTTTTCTTCTATTCAATTTTTACAAAAGTGGATGGCACTAAACATGAGATACTACAAATTTTTACTAGGACTAGACATCACCAAAAACACCTTCCTTTCCCAAACCCAACTTTATGAATTCCCTTTCAACCACTCATCAAGCAAGAGGAATGGCAACCCAATCAAAAATATGTAATGGTTTTAATGATTTTGATGCAGATGACAAGAGGTCCATGCTCCACGGTGTTCCAATTCAGTCGCAATTTTTGTGGATTTGACCACATTTTCAAATAACAAAAGGTTCTAAAACCATCTCTATATTAAAAGACTGGATCCAATTCACAAGTATTTACCCAACAGAAATGCAGATGGCTTAAGGCAACTGACTAGGAGGGTGACCAAACATACTAGAATGGATCTAGTATTCCATTAATCAACGAACTGAGAAGACTGCATGACTACAGAAGTAGTTCATCTTATAATCATACAATTGAGCAAAAGTGATCATACAAGATATGTCATAAATGATATATCACAGCAGTGTTCATAAATGTTGAAGAAGCAACAGAACGCGACAAAGCATATGAAATTTGGGTTCTGACCTTGAGCAGCCTCCTTATAACAAAGAAGTGATTCTCTAGCTGTTCCGCGCCTAAGATATGCCTTCACATTCTGCAAAAAAGTCAAAAAGTGAAAAGATAAAAAAAGGTCACAGATATTGAAAAGTTTGTATGGTTTTGAAGAAACAATCTACATTCACAACGATATACACAGCACAAATCTGTTAGAAGTAGGGAGTTGGCCCTCATAAAGTAGACATACTCAATAAAGGGTTGCAAGCAATGCAAGAGATTAGATAAAAACAATTATGACTGAGCTGAACATATGGATCAACTATTGGCCTATCACACAAAGAACTGTCTGTAAGTCATTTCAGTAACCACTGTCACTTCAATCCCTAGTCCACAACGTTTCCTGTTCCAGTCCTGACACACGTGGCCAGACTGACCAGAAAACGTGAATCAACTACACTGATTGACATGAAACTTGTGTGGTCAAATTAGCCTGACATGTAAATGATATGTTCACTACCATGTGAAACTTAGAACATATAACTCAACCAATTGCCATTCATTGGAGAAGCCCAGAATTTTATGAATCTGTGATGCAAGGCTTCAAATTCTCTGTGAGATTTCTATTCTGAACACAAGTAATTTAAGAATTCAGTTGAGCCCAAATTTCCACCTTGGCCAGGAGTGTACTGGGGAGGTCTATGAATTTCATTGACTAGCTTGATTGGTAATTTTGGATCATTCTATTGAAAAGATGCTCCTGGAAACAGTAAGCGTTGAAGAGTAAAGAATCACAATCAAACAAAGGAAACGAATTACCAGAAACAAATAACTCCTAATGATACTTGCTCATCCACTTTTGCTACCTTACTCCACTATAGAACACTGTTGAACAAAGGAAATCCCTAAATTACTTAGTGGTAACATAATACTGTTGAACAAAGCAAATACCTAAACGACTTAGTGGTAACCATCACGAGGAGGTAAATTGAGCTCCAACTGCCCTTTTACTAACAGAATTGGTTACAATATAACATGAAATGGTTCGTAGTGCTTCGACCAATAGTTATAAAAACAAAGAGTCTAAAAATATAAATGCAATAGAATGATTTTATTACCTTTTTGTCAAGTGATATTGCCTTGCTGCAGTCCTCTTCAGCTTGCTGGAAGCTGCATGATTGAAATTGATAACCACATAGATACAAATGCAATGCAACAGAAGGAATTGACAGATCAGATGGGCATTTCTTACCACCCCAACTCCAAGTAAGCAGCTGCGCGGTTGGAGTAGTAAGTTGTGCTCATCATGTTCAATTTGATAGCTTCAGTATAATAGTTGACAGCCTTATTCCATTGCCTTCCCTTAAATGCAGCATTTCCCTGCAAAAAGTGTACACAGAAATTGATATAACAAATAATACTAATTGAAACAGTGGTTTCAAAACTCTTTTGCTGGTAGAAAATCAAATTAACAGAACTAAGCAAAATATTCGACAAACATAGCAAAGGGAACCACGCCCCCTGATCTTTGACCCTTGTCTCACTTTTGTTCATATTTTATGCCAATGGAAAATGTGACATTATGCACACTAAACGTTATTGTTAACAGGAGAGGGCAAACATTCAGACCCAATACATCAGCCTATAAAGGTGGGAAGTATCATTCATGTAGAAAATGCAGTTGCAACACTGCCAGTGTAAAGATGACAAAAAATAATAAAATATTGAAGAAGACTCGACAAAATGAAGCATTGAAAACTAAGATGAAAAGATTTTAGCAGGGAACAACCTTCTCTTTTAAGAGTTCTGAAGCATCCATGTTCCCATTGGTATCTGGCAATGGCAATGAATGGGATGCAATGCTGACTTTCTCCTGAACTGAAGAGTACATATCCAAGACTGTATCAAGGAGAAATTTATCAACACCATGGAACGCGATGAATGAAACAGAGATGGGGCAGTCATTGTGCTCTCCCACTGGTACCGTAACCTAGCCATGTGCAAATATAATCGTGAAAATAAGTTTCAAAGCTACAGATACTCAAGGATAAATGTGAATGTTCAGACTTGAAAGTACTCAGTTACCTGACAGCACCCAGACATGCTGGCAATGCTTGTTAATGCTAATGTTCTATCATTAAACTCAGATGAGCCCCCCTTCTTTGTATTCAGCTTTAATGGCGGATCTGCGATTGTGGGAATCACTAATATTCCGTCATCCTGGGATAGCAAGAGGTTGTAAGAAATAGAGATACATAAAATGAGGTATTGTACATATAAACAATCGGTTACACAATAAGGCAACCTCAATATTTTCACCAAATAATCTTGTTCAAAACAATTTAAAATGCAGACTCTGCAGGAGCACTGGAGCTGCAGCAGTTATTCCCCCTTTTCTGGTTTCAGAAGAGGGAGGGGTGGGAGGAATAACAATATAAGGAAGCTCAGGTTGTTGAATCTCAACACGCCAGTGAAAGTAGACAAGAAAGCTAAAGCTGACCCACCTCTTCAATATTTGTATAATTTCAAATTTTTGGCCAAAACAAATCAAAGGAACAAACTTAGCTGACTTGTACATATTACAAGGTTGGAGAGATTCTCAGATATGTTAGCCAAAGTTATTAAACTGACAAAGGTTTAAAATATAGTTCCTATCTCTAATAGTCCAACCGAAGCGATACAGGAAAGAGAAAAGGGAGAAACCAAGAGCATCAAAGATTATCCAAGTTGACTCCAAATTAACAAAAATCTTTTACAGCTTCTCTTTATTCAATCAGACTTGATATTTCTTATCCCTAAAACATAAACGCGTACTTTGAAGAATCATCTCATCAGAGATAATCTTCCAACTCACTCCATATACACACTACATTGAAGTTTTCACAACCAACTCTCCTGCCTCAGATTAAAGACTTGCGAGATATGGTCTTCTTAAAATACCAAAACAAACAACAGTAATAAAGGAATATTTATATACAGAGAAATTAATACAACAGAAAAAGAAGTACATCACGCAGTTTAAAATTTAGTAACAATTAAAACATTTCTGCCTTGAGAAAATTTCTTTCTGGGAGTCACTTTACTACTACTTAACACCAGTGAAGTAGATAAATCGATAGAATGCCAAATGAATATAAAAATTTGCATAGTGTTGGGATACCTTTAAAAGACTTTGAAGGGCAGCTCTCATCTCAGTCCTTACTTTATATAGGGTTTTCATGTTTTCATTTGTAGAGTTAATTGCTGCACGAACACGATCTGATACATCTGGCCCTAGCTTTGGTTTCGCTGATTTAACCCATTCTTCATGATTGGTTTTGAATTCACAACTGAAATAAAGTTGTAGATGTCAAATTAGTAGAGAGAGAGAGAGAGAGCTTATCAAATTTCCTTTCCCATAAAGGTAACCCAAAGGAATTTGAGAAGATTTAATTGACCTGAATAATCTTAGAATACCTCTGTATCAAAAGCATCACAGAAGAGAGAGCTTTCAAAGTAAATACTCCATTTTGATGTTTTGTGGATTCTTCACGAAATGCTTTTAAACTGGGTACATTTGAAGCAATATACTGACTAAAATTCATATGCTTTGGAGGTTGGTCTGCAGAAGCAGTAAAAGAAGCAACTTCAACATACTTATACTTGGTTTACTTTTTTATGAACTCCCATCCCATTATGACAATAGAGAGATTGCATTTTACCATTGATATATGAAAGATTAAAAGAAAAGGCAATCACTACGGAGCCGTATATGTGTGTATGTGTGTGTGTGTATATTCTCAAGTGAGGTTACTTACACCCAGATAGATGTTCAATTGCTTTGCTGACAACATGTACTGTCTTCTCAGTAGGAATTTTAGGAAGCTGAAAGAGATCATCAGCAAAAATAAGGCGTCTCGCCCTTTTAGGTTCCACAGAATTCAGTTGAAGCAAAACATGTCCAACACGATGTAGAATAGATGGATCGCAGGCAAAAATTCCTAAAAGACAACAACAATATCAAATTAAAGAAGATGCAAGAAATATAAAAGAGAAACCATAAACAAGAAATTATTCCCAAGCATACCAACAGCGTCTAAACTTTGTGAATTTGGCAAAACTCCAAGCATAGATACAGCCCCATGAGACGGTCGGTACCCAATGACACCACAAAATGATGCTGGAATTCTAACACATCCAGTTGTATCAGTACCTATAAAAGTATAAGAACTTGAAAGGATCAGCCGATATTATAAAGAAGCCAAACCACGAGGGTAAGTTTATAAGTGCAGGATCACATAGTTAGCCCGATTTCAGTGAGCAGGTGACTTGATACCTACAACCTTTATTCATTGCGACTTGAGACGAAACATGGAAAGTGTATGAATCTAATTCTAAAAGATAAGGCAAAATTATAACCAAACTAAGAGTAAAATGAAGCAGAAATTCTGCAAAGACAGTAAATGAAGTAGAAATACTCAAAGAAGCTTACCAAGAGCAAAGTCAACAAGACCGGCTGCAACAGCCACAGCAGAACCACTGGAAGATCCTCCCGGAATGTGAGATTGTAATTCGGGATTCACAGGCGTTCCATAATGCACATTCTCACCAGTGATCCTGATAGTGATACAAACAACAAGGTATCGAAAGGTCGTTGCTTTCATTTATTCTTAATTGTTTTCGCCATTTAAATTCAAAAGGGAATAAAAAGTGACAGAGAAAAATGATCAGTACCCAAAATTGAGCTCGTCCATGACGGTGTGGCCAACGCAAGTAGCCCCATTTTTTAGCAGAGCCGTCACAACGAACGCCGTCTTGGTCGCCGCTTCATGCGTTCGCGCCCAATCTGGACTCCCAAACCCCGTCACATAACCCTTCACATCAAATCTGAAACAAACCCACCAACCCATAAACCAAATCAGAAAGAATCACAAAAAAAAAAAAAAAAAAATATTGCTAGTAAAAGCAAAATAACAAGAGAGAGAGAGACATGTCGGAGATAGCGAAGGAGAGGGAGGAGAGGGGTTGAGTGGCGGCGGGGAGAGGGGGCTGAGGGAAGGGAAGGAGTTGGAAGCGGGGCTCTATAAATGGTTCCGTTCGGCGTCGTCTTCGGCGGTGGGTCTCGGCCAGGACCACGATCCCTGCGACGGTGAGACCGATAACGATCCAGGTTTTTGGGTTGGAGGAGACATTGGCCTTGATCGCCAGCAGAGGCTGGGGGTGAAGCTTCCACATGATCAACGATCACGACAGGGACAGGTCAGAGGTCAGCAGTGAGCCCAGCAGTGAGCAGCAGCGAGGGTTTTGGTGGGTTCGGGTTTTGGCAGGGTTTTACATTTTCACTTTCATTTTATTAACATTTATTTTGTTTGATCAGTAACTTGTAGTTTAATGGCGACCGTGGGTCTGACGCGCGATTACTATTCTTTCTTTTTTTTCTTTTTGATTTTTTTTTCCTTTTTCTTTTCTTAGTTGCAATGTTTAACATTTCTTCGATACAGTCTATGAAATTATCTAAAAAATGAGAGAAAGACATGAAAATAGGGGGTGAATATGGAAATACAGGGTGAAGTCTAAATTTCATTTCATATCGGAGAAACTCTTAAGTTTAGGTTATAATCAACAAGTATCGTCGATATTTCTAACACATCTATTAAAATCTGAGAAACTCTTATATTTCGTCCAAACCAATGTTTGACAATTCCTAAAGTTTTATTTTAAATTTTCATCATTTCCATCAAAAGCAACTAATATTCGATATATCCGTCTATATTTTCACAAGTTTGCATATCGATATTCCACGTACCGATATTTCAAACACTGCTCAGTTGCTAGCTACTTGCTATCGAATGGGCCGGCGAGGTTTCAAAATATCATTATATAAGTAAAGAAAGCGACGGACCAAAAACAAAAGTAAAGAAAGCTACAAAAATAATCATTACTAATAATTAAGTTAGTTCAATTTAAAAAACAAAAAAAAAATCAAATGAACAAAACCTTTAAAAAGTACAACATTGAAGTTTCAATTAAAAATGATTCTTGGTGCATTCTTGGCTGCAAAATCGTCAATTAAATTGTAGTTACAAGGGCCACCAAAATACTATTAAATTGCTAGAAAAATAATAAATGATATAAACTAAATATCATAATCGATATAACAATTTCATAGAAAAATTAATTCATCTTATGCGGTAGGTTACAAGCCCGAATAAAGTAAGAGGGGAAGGGCGTCACATAGTCGTTTTGCACATTGAATCCCGATGAGAAAAATTGGTTTCAAGTTATAGCAACAGCTAACAAGGTCGTGATAGTCAGTAAATACAACTCTAGCCACATGCGGTGGCAAAATTTGATGTCGGAATACGAATTGGATATGTTGTCACTGTATATTCAATTAGCTACTACATATGGATTACTGAGATATACACACTCATTGATATGCATGTTATCTTAGTGCATCTATGGTTGAGATGCATGTCCTGAACTTTGGTCCTTATCAGATCCAAACCGGTAGTTCTTAGGTACGTATTGCTATATCTCCCTCTTTCCAACCCTTTTTTTCCTTGAATTTTTTTTTTTTTTTTTCCGTTCCTTCTAGTGCCGAGAGACAATGGCTGGTTGAGATATTTTTGTTTAGGAAGTAGGTAATTTGGCTGGGGCGTTTGTACCCAAGACCTACTCAAACGCACGGGGAATGGTCTGCCCGGAATGCGGTGATGGTCCTGTAGATCCAACCAACGATTCCAAGAAGAAGGGATCTACCGTGAAAGATAACGAGAAGAGTAAGAGGATAAAGGGCGAGTCGTCTCATGCTATATGGAAAAGTGATTTTTGTTTTGGTACTTTTATCTTTCAATAGGGGTGACCGCTCCAGTTCATCGAAAATAATTGAAACAGTGATCACAGCAGCTGGCGGTCACCTGGTCGGGTTTCCGGAAGGTCCGAAGGTGACTTACTGGTTGCCTGAACACCAAGTTACCTAAATCTGTATCTTTTAAACGTCCCAAATGCCACCTGAGGATTTGTCGCCTTGAAAGATAAATTTAAGAGACACGGTTATCTCATGTTGTAATAACCCTGAAATTTGTCACCTGCCGTTAACTCCTCAGGGTAACTCATGTCCAAAGAAAAACCCTCAAATTTTCAAAACTAATGTACATGTGACATTCGTATATCTACATTCAGCTGAGTTGGTTTCAGCAACGTGTTCTTACTTTTGCGCTCAATTTTAAAACTTTATTTCCGTAACTTAAATAAATTTAGCATAGAATATAACTTAGGTGGTGATCAAAGATATGGTGATGTGGTGTATTAGAGGCCGTTGATTGACTTTATATCTGTAACTTAAGTGAACAAGATGGTGCTATCTAGACATCCTTCTTTATTTTCTACGCACTTCTCTTAAATTTCGATAATCGTATTAAATGAATTAAAGATAATCAAATGACATACATTAATAGAACAACGTGAATGTAAAATTGATGTGTGGATAGCAAACACCAAAAGGAACTTGGTGCTTCGATAGTGAGCAATGGAGTGATGTGGTTTATAGGAGGCCTTGGATTATTTGGGTGGTTTAGATGCTATTTAGTGCATGCAAACCAAATGGTAAATGCACGCACTTAAAAATCCAGATCCGATCCGGTGAGGAGGAGTCTGTTGCGAAAGCGACGAACATGGCTGACCCACACGTGGCCTAACCCATCGCCGTGTCCTAGTTCTTCTTTCTCCACGTGTCATTTCCTCTTGGCACCGTCATTTTGCCAACTTTCTCTGCATCTCCAGACAGAAGCATATTCCAATCTAATTAGTTTCCTCTGTGAATAGGAAAATAGAAGAAAACATAGTCTGTTTTGTTTGAGAGAATTGAGAGGTGGCGGTGATGATGATAGCCAGGAAGGGCTTAGTCTTTAATTACAGCGGGTCCGGTGGAGGTGGCGGTGGCGGTGGCGTTGGCGAAGGCGGAGGCTTACAGGATTGGTGGAATCAGGACCAGAAACAATGGGGAAGTGGCGGTGGCAGCAGCAGCACTTACTATATCTTGTGTGCTTCTTATGGATTGGTTTCCCTTGTTGCACTGGTACAATCAACAACATTGTTATTCTCATTTTTATCATGTTTTCTTTTTATGGAAGGAAAATATTAATTAGGGAAGCTGGCTATTGCAACATGCTCGAATAATAATAATAAAAAAAGATGATTTTCAGGTACAACTTGTGCGCATTCAGTTAAGAGTGCCAGAATATGGGTGGACAATACAAAAGGTTTTCCATTTGATGAACTTTCTAGTGAACGGATGTAAGTTTTTAATTAATTAATTTATTCATTTATTTTATTTTTTGTTAATTCATTGTATAAGCTTTTTGTCTGAAAACCAAAATGCATTTGGGCAGTAAGGGCTCTCCTATTTGGTCTCTTCAAAACTGTCTTCCTTATTAAACCTAAGGTATGATATCATATTTGTGATTTGCACTCCTCAATTATTTATGTATAATTTTACACACACATACATATATAAATGTTGTCCTGTTCTAGGATTATTATATGTGATTTTCGCGAGTGTATGGACGATGCTTTTTCTAGTACAAACGATATTCTAAGCTAATCTCTACACTGAGGGGAGCGGTGAGGGTTTGAACCTGGGACACAATGGCCTAGTGGCGAGTGTATGATGTTTAAGTAACAATTTTCATATTTTTAGGACTTTTAATATTCCATGGAAAACAATAGTGATTCGCGAGGATGTGAAAATTGTCTCACCTAATAGAGTTAAGAAACCTGGCAAAGGCTTATTGCTTTTAGGGCGGAGCCCCAACTTCTTTTCATGCTTAGTATGGAAAAATATACTTGAAAATGCATAGGTCCATCAATTAAGTATGTTGGAAAATTATAAACAGGATGTGCAGGGTCTCCTTCTTTCATGGAACGTAGCACAGGAATACATTTCCATCTTCATCATATAGATTTTCCCTTATGAGTTTGACTGGTGAAATATGAACCTTCAACCTTGTATAAGTATATAAATTTATCTTAGAAAAAAGTGTAGCTTATCTAGTCAAAGTGCGAATACTGAAGACTTGTAGTAGTAGTATTAAGATGATACATGAAACTTGTAAGAAAATCTCAAGTATATTGTGCTTGCTCTCCCACATTTTCAACCACGTACAGCGTTGTTTAGTTTTTCTCTTCTGTATGGTAAATGCAATGATAACGTACGTATAAGTTTCTGTCTCTCCCGCACTGTGAAAATAGGCTTCGGGCTTAACCAGGCTGATATTTTTAGATTTGTTGGAGCAGTTAAATTAGAAATGCATGATAATGAGCCTTCAATAGCACTGGTTTTGTTCTCCAGTAGCATGCATCATGTATTATACTCTTCACGGGTCATACATCTGCAATTCTGAGATTTGAAAGTGGAGTTCGATTTATTGTAGCTTTGATCCCTAACGTCACTATGTTTCGATGCTTTGCAGTATCTTGATATATAACTTCTTCTGATGACACTGCCTTACTGTTTTGTAGGCTCTTGAAATGCTGCTTATGGATCTTCCTGGACTTCTATTTTTCTCCACGTATACATTACTTGTCTTATTTTGGGCTGAGATCTATCACCAGGTACGTATACCAACTTTTCTTTGCCTTCGATTCTGATGTGAAATAATCACTGTTCCCCATTAACTACTGTCATCTAATTCGTTTTATGACTTTTTTAGGCCAGAAGTCTTCCAACAGATAAACTTAGACCTGCATATTATGTTATAAATGGATTTATATACTTCGCACAGGTTAGTCAAAACGATGTATTTCCTGTTGAAAATGGTTGGACGCAATGTTGGATTAATTTTATTTTGCTGCTACACTGCGGGCATCACTGTTTCCTGGTCATTGTGTTATGATGATAGGTGTGCATTTGGATTTTCTTGAGATTAAGCAGAAGTCCTGTTGCTGTAGAAGTTGCTAGAATCTTCTTTTCAGGTCAAAAGTCGATATTATATTAATTTTTTTGCCTTTTGGTAATTTATTTCCCTCTAATTTCAAGTGCTTATCAAACATTTGTGCAGTTTGAATAATAAGTTCATTGCAGTAGGCAACTATTATCCCTAGTCAGCGCATGAAGTCGACGTGACTTCATTTGGAAAAAAAACTATTATGCAGACGGAAAAGCTAAACTATATACGTTTATGTTCATTTTGTTTGCAGTTATTTCATTTTGTACTGCTCTGGGATTCTTGATATATGGTGGAAGGCAAGGACTTTTGTCAGCTCTGAGAAAGCATCCAGAGTTTTTCGGACTTTAATTTTATTCTGTTTTTAATAAAACAAGTGTTTACTTTGACTTGTTTATCACTTTAGGTTGTTTATCATGCTAAGGCACTTCCCCATTGAGTCAAGAGGACGTCAAAAAAAGCTAGAGGAGGTTTGTGCTTATATTTCGCTCATCAGTAGCAGTTTTCAAATGCAATTCTTGCAATTTGTGTTAGGAATCACGGTTCCTAACTTATTTACGTGGCAGGTTGGATGGGTCACAGGCATTTGCTGCACATGTTTCTTGATAAGATGCGTTGTGGTAAGTCCTTCTCAATTGCAAAGCACATGTAACCAGAAAAGTTATTAATTTCCAAGGACTTCTTTCGTGATTGAATTCCAGCTCGCAGTTTCTGCATTTGACAAAGATGCAGATGTCGATGTCATTGATCATCCCATCCTCAACCTTGTTTATTACATGGCAAGTATTAAATCCTGAACTTTGGAATTTTATATATTGCTGCTACCACGACGCGAGTTTCATGTATTGTATTTGTCTAGCTACTGTAGTCTTTACTTCACCGGATCATCTAATGTACCTTACCTTTATCTGTTTCACACTTTGGAAGGGATTTCCTGGGTGAAAATATTAGAATCTATCGCCCGAGGGAGGGACCAAAACCTCGATGGACTACTTGTGTCTTTGACTGCTTCTTATATAAGCGCTTTTATCTGTCATAAATTATTTTCACTTCTTTTGGCAGTTGGCGGAGATTGTTCCATCAGCTTTGGTGCTATTCATCCTGCGAAAGCTGCCCCCAAGACGTGTTTCTGATCAATACCAACCCATAAGTTGAAAGCTCTATCTGCCGCTAGCAACCTATTCAGGGAAAGGAAGAGGAAAAAAGTAGTACTCTTAAGAGGAGAGCCTCGTTCCTGCACGGTTAGTGCTTCCCTCGGTCGCGTATCACCTTTGTCTGATGACAGGATGTTTTAAGCCAATACTGAAACTGAATTTGTTTGATGATTGTGTGAACTGCTTCAGTCAATTACGTGTATATTCTGTACTTATATTTTCTCTTGTATTCTACTTATTATTTCTCCTGCATATGCTTTTTTATAGCAATGGGAACGCTATCTATCAACGCCCTCTAGAATTCAGCAAGAATTATGCCGGTAGGTTCAAACCGACTAGTTCCCTCTCGTAATAAAACTTGCTTTTTATCATTGATGGGGAAAGAATAAACATAATTTAGACCGCGCCTCATGGAAACTTCAAAAGGAACCGGGTTAAAATTCCTAAACTGGAATGCGGTGGTTGACAGCATCGTTAGTGAGAGACATCGGCGGAGGCCTGGGAAAGAGTTAACCTTTCTGTTTAACACCCCGCCACCTTGGAAACTGCTCGGCTAGAGGTAGAATCTAAAGACTGGAAGAGCACCGCACGCGTGTGGTGTCTAGTGGGCCTCCGGTTAACTTCTCTGTTTAACAGCCCGCCCACTCTAGAAACGGCTCGGCTCGAGGTAGGCTCCAAAGCCACACGCGTCTAGTGGGCTTCCGGTTAACTTCTCTGTTTAACAGCCCGCCCACTCTAGAAACGGCTCGGCTAGAGGTAGGCTCCAAAGCCTGAAGAGCACCTCGCGTGGTGTTTAGGGGGCCTCAGGGGCCGTTGAAAATACAAAGACAATTCTCTCTCTCGCATTCAGTTCAACCTAGAATATTTGGACGTGCACAATGCTATCCGAAACCAGCAGCCCGATACACATCCAATTCGGTACCAGATTTCAATGGATTGGGGGGATTATTTTTATTTCGACAGTATCCGCCGGTCTGAAATCTAATGTTTACATGAGCTCATTTGCCAAGCTTAGTCATATGAAAATATTCAGGTTATAAATAAATTAGCGATTACGAAGCTTTATTCAACGTCCTAAACAAATTGTAACGAGTATACACACTACACATTTCCCTCCACTGGGGTGAAAAACATACATAAAATTACAACTACATTCAAATTCTGTGAGCAGGAGTAAGTTTTGGTTGTCCTCACTACACTCCCGCGTGCTCCTGCAGAACGCGGAATATCGTAAACAATTCCCTAAGTTCATTAAACATATACATAGATGAACCAGGATCTCCAGACCAGTATAAGGATGCCAGTCATGTGTAATGTACAGGTCGAGTTACTCAGAGTCGGCTCAGTCAAATGCTATAGACATGAAAGTGTCATCATCCAACAACTTGTCAATATCGATTAGATCCTCACCACCCTCGGCCTTTTCTTCTGATCCCTCGACAGCCATACCACTTACCTGCCGATAGTCCATAACACGCAAAACGTGTTATCAAAGTGGATTGGTATTGCTTAACGGTTCCATTAATCGTCTAATAGTAAATGACACAGCGACATCCAATAAACGTATGAACATGTTTTTTTGTATAATGAATTCAGACACAGCAAGGTAGAAAAGGAATATTTAACTTGAGAACAGAAAACTGAACCAAAAACAAACACGTTAATTAGCACATCCTTATGATCGACAAGAAATGCAAACATTAGCGACAGAGAACCATAACATAGTATCACTAAACTATATCCAAAAATGTCATCGGGGTTCACCAAGAACACAAGTAAACTAACTAAAGACAAAATGAAGCGCAATTGAAAATTCGGTCCTACAAAAAGTAACTCAAATAATAAGACTATGAAAGCAAAATGCACCAGTTTAGATCCATCAATACCTTTGTTTCACGGAATCCTTCGACAACATTTAGCAGTCTACGGTATTGAGCTCTTCCCTCTGGATACTGAACCATAGACTTTACCCTAGTGAGTGCTTTTTGTAACCTTTCCTCTGTTTGTTTTCTTCCCTTCTTAAGAAAGTCATAATCATCCTCCTTTGAGGGCACAGGTTGTGGGCTCGGAATCTTGGCAACTGCATCTGGTCGGAATCCTCGTAAACCAGTCCCCTTACGTCTCCAACGCAAAATAACTTTCTCCAGAATTCCAACTGACCAGGTGATTGCCTTATATTGTTTCCTTACCTGGTGTCCCCTTACATGGGCCTTTATAAAATGAAAAAATGGGAAATTAGCATTCATAGCCGTAGTAAAATCATTCAGAAAAGTAATACCCAGAAAGATAAAGAGGGTTTTTCAAAAGTTCATCTCGAAATTCATTTTACTTAACCGCTGCAAAAGTTAACGCATGGGAAATGGAGAAAATATACAATTAGGAGCCCGCTTGAATTCAAATAGTTAATAAAAGCGGAGAATCAGACCGGGATCCAGTCAAACCCTAAGTGGTCCCAAAATTAATTCCATCATTTGCCTAAGAAAACTAAAAGTATTAACTTTCATATGCGAAACAACCCATGGTCAAAGTACTTTTATAGAGAGCTTTATATGGATCACTTGTGCCACAATAAGATTGTTTTTTTTTTTTTTTTTTATGATGCAAGTATATAATGATAACAATAATAAAAAATAATAATCAACAGGAAAAAAATTGTAGTGGACCTGGATTTTAACAATTCTCTGGCGAATTATCAGGAATTCTTTTCTTTTCTTCCAACCACGAAACTTTTTCTGTATCTGAACTGCAGCAGTATGAGCAAACCCATTGACCGGTCCCACCTTGTGTGATTTGGAAGTTATGAGTGAAATTGCTCGCTCATCCGGCATTCCCAACTCATCAATGTCATGCTCAGTAATTCGTCTCCTCTCAAATGACTGCATCCTTAACATTTGCTGTATACGATCAGCAGCTTGGGTAGCATTAGTTACAGCAGTAAGTGAGTCCTTCAGTGACAGTGCATCGGGCATATCACCGTAACTCACAGGTGTAGCTATCCGTTCTGAAAAAGTTTTGACAACTTTTGTTCCAGGTATTTCTGCAGCACTATCTTCCTTTGCATCATTCATTGTAAGGGATTTAAAGTAAGTGGTCAGGGAAGACTCTGCGAGGAAGCCTGAAATTCCTTTGTGACTATTCACAGATGCCAGGTCTGCTGGTGTTCTACCCAAAGGTACCTCTGGAGACGGATCGGTCAGTGCTCCAGGATCTGCACCAAGAGAGACAAGGACTGCAACTGTCTGCTCTCTGAATTTGGCATAGGTTCAGGAAATAAAAAAACAAAAGAGTAAATGTAAGGTGTTGGAAATTTGCAAGAAATTTATAACGGTTAAAGATAAATGACACATATAGCTCAGAGCTTAAAAAGTGAGGGTTACTATGAAATCACTAGTTAACTAGTGGCACCTACTCCATGTCTCAGAGAAAAAAGTCAATTGTCCAATGGCATCCTCATCTCACATAACAGTTATGGTAAAACAAATTTGGGATGCTTTAATGGGCTCCGAGGGAAGTGTATAAGCCAAGTCCCTTAGTAGACAACATAGGTAGAGAAGATTCAACAGAAGCTAGACTAAAATAAAATGGAAAGGGTTCTGATGTCCTTGCCTGCCATAGAATGCAGCCCAATGAAGGGCAGTCCATCCATTAACATCACGAAAATTGATACTAACTCCCGCAGTTACAGTGGGTTTTATGGCCCAATTGTAGGAAAGGGCAGCTGCTAAATGTAGCACACCTTGTCCTTCAGCATCTAATACACTTGGTCCTTTACCATCTTCTATTGCTTTATAAAGGAGCCAAGTGTACAACTTCTCTTTCATCAGCTTTATAAGATGTTCCATCCCTTCATTTTGGAGCAAATAATTCGCTACTGTTGGTTCTGCTGCATGTAAATAATCCTCTTCCTCCTTCAGTGATATGATTTTACTAATTATGTTTCGATTCTCCTTAACACCTCCAAACAGGTGACCTGAAGGGCTGACAGATCTCAGAGACAGTAAACTCTCAAGACGTAAGTGAAGATGCATTTCGTATGCAGTGTCATTGCATATATCTGTCATATCTAAACCTTTAGTGGAGCCCACTTGATAATCGAACTCTCTTACTTCACTACAAGCTAACCTGTTGGAACAAGTTACATAGAAGGGGACTTGCCCGGCACTGTGAGGTGGAGCAAAACAGAAAAGAACTCCACTGGCTAAAACCTTTGCTGGAACTTCCACCTCCCCAAACATACAAGACCAGCTGTATCGTGTTACCTCCTTTTGACTTACCAAGAATGTTCCAAAAACCAGAACCTGTTTCACATTAAGAAGAATGAGATGACAACTAACACATCGGGGACATATACAAATAAATGACAACCATCAGATCTACATTAGACATGTCAACATATTCTGTAGCCCTTTACAAATAAATGGAGACAATATAACATTTGATAGTAGCCTTACTCAATTATTGAAATTGAGTTGGAAGACAGATACCAAAGAACAAATATAACAGTAAAACTGATTAAGTGAGAACAGAGGAGAAGCAAAACCAAAATATGTATAAAATCTCAAGTATAAAAGTAATAGAAATTAAATAGTAGGTTTCTTTCTTTTCTGCTCCGTGAGTGGAACATGTTAGTATTGCAAGAAGTCCTAAGCACGATGTACAATGTCTAACTAAAAGTTAGACTTGATCAGAGTAATCATGCTTATGGAACAATGGCATGTTATAAAATACATTTTCATCAAGGAAATTATTTTGGCGCAAAAACCATCTCTAAGGATGCATCCTAGTGAGCATCTGACTAGATATATTTACGTGGCAGAAACTCAGTCCAAGATACCAGTTACTATTTTTCTTCCCTATTTTGTACCTCAATTTCAGAGTCTGTGTACGCCCACTTTGGTGAAAAATCAACTATGCTGAAAAGCTGGTCCTGGGAGATAGAGGGGCTCAACGAGGAATCATCAACTACATCTCCACATTCAGCAGTGATCCATGAAATACCAGATGAGGATTGCATCTGCAGATCATCTACCTCTCCAAGTTCCTTGGAAACCCACCTAGAAAAGCTGTCAACTTTCTTCAAACCCTCTTCTCGATCTAATAATTGCTGTCTCAAAGTGAAAGCATAGTTGGTATTCCCATCTTTAGGAACATCATGCTCAGGGCTTGATATGATTAAACATTGAGATTCTGCATTTGTAAGCTGTGCTTGAAGGTTGTCCTGCACAAGCTGCTCATTTCGCTGATTGAGATAAGCACTAACAAGGTCT